ATTTTTTTTTGTATTTTTTGCTTAAAAATAATCTACGCAAGTCATATCTCCTTCTTTGTTTTCTTGTCGTGATTTTGCAGCTCATCGATCACAAAAGCCAAGAATTCCGAATACTCCAAGAATATAGTTCCAAGCGATCTAGAAAATTTCAGCTTTTTTTTCAAATCTCGGAATACCTGAGAAAAACCCTCAGATGTTTATGTTAATAAAAACAGCGATAAGATCAAATATTTGTAATATAAGAAAGATGCAGGCACAGTTGAAGGCTGTAATTATTGGGATAAGAGTTGGGAGTTTGTGAGAGTTGGAGGCATTAGTTATGGTCTTTTTTCTTTCTGTATTCACGCCGCACAAAACACCCATGTTCTTAATTTGACACAGCGCATCAATGGCCTTCCAGCTATTTTTTAAAAAATCATGAAATTTATTAAGCTGTTTGTTTCGTCCTTTTGCTATCTATCATCACTGTCATATGATCAGCCTAGCCGAAAATATGAAAACTGAGGAATTATGGTGATAGAAAGGGCAGTGTGATACAGTTGGTTATTGAAAACTTGCCCAACTACTGTGATTACTTTCTGGGTTACTGCTATGGTTTATATTAATTTCTTCAATTTTGTTATCTGCCCAAAAATATCTTTCATTTAAATGCATTAAAATTAGTTGCCAAAAACTCAGAGCAGCTATGGAAATATTTTTTCTCTGAAATGATTGTCATGAGGCCCTTTTCAAAAATGGCTATGGACCGGGGCGGAGTCGAACCACTCTATTACATATTCGGACACGACGTGCTATCCATTACACCACCGGTCCTTGTGCTTCGGAGTCAGCCTTGTAGCACGTCTGCTGTGTATCTGCCTTTCGAGAGAGTATATATCTTTATTGGTTGTTCCCAAGCCTTTTCGTTTGTGATCGCTTCCCTCGTTACGGATTTTCCATAGCAATTATATTAATATCTCGGTATCAATTCAAAATTGTGGCGTTCGTTACCCCAAAATGATGTTATCCGGAATGCTTGAAACACTACTTATTACTTCAGAGTCTGGAATTTCACTGATGCAGCCGACAATTTAATAATCCTAAACGGATGTGTTTTTTTCCTTCCCAGAGATGTTTCTGATACATCCTCAGCTCGGAAAATAGATTGATAAGCAATTGCGATAACGATAAAATTCGAAAAAAAAAAACGTCCATTTTAGGACATCATGAAAAGTCCTTTGTTTTCTTTTTTATTTCAGTTGCCAATGTATCAATACACATTTGGAGCGTTTTAAACGTTGTCCAGTTTGCAATCGGAATTTGGATCCAAATTTGGGCCCTATCGTCTTTCCTAATTACACAGCTTGTTCTATCGTTGATGCATTCCGTTTTAAAACCGAACTGTCACGCTCCCTATCAGCTCACGGAGTTAGTTTTCGTTTTTTGTGTTCTCTTTGCTGCTGTATCTGCTGCCTTTTGCGGAAGACAAATTTGAAATGATCTTTGATCCGATACTATCGCTATTTATTACTGAAATTCACCTCCTCTCCTGCATGCGTGGGCGCAAAATGCAAAATTTCCCGGAAGTGGAAGTTTTAGTGTGACTCTTATAAATTTGTCTGTGCCTATTCTGGGATTCCCAATTTAAAAAAAGAAATTCAAAAGTATGTTTTTTGTTTATGAAACTGAAAGATGCTGTTTACTCTGCGATGTACCAGTGGTTATTTAGCATATGTTGGAGAAGTTTTTGCATCAGAAAAATTCATTTCAAAATCAAAACCCCTCCCCTTTTCGCTCGAAGGCAGCTCGGGAAGAGTGGCCCGAGCAGTAGCAAATACCAACAGCAATCACGTGCTGGAAAGAGGCAATCGATGGCTCCCTTATGCGTCGGTTATGTATAGCCGTAATTCCCAGTGTATTCCAGAATCACGTAGTTTCGTGTACTGCAGGTGAACAACATGAAGAAGGGCGAAGCACTTGTGGAAATGGCCTTGTTTGCCGATATCAACATGCTGGATCATTTGATGAACTTTCTCAAGGAGCGACGAAGTCGAATTAGTAGTGCGAACAGTTGGAAAAATAATGTATTGCTAATGGAGTTTCTCGATGAAATGGTGGAACAACGTGAAGCACAGCTAGCGAAAATCGAGAAAGAATTAGCCGTTTTACGAAGGGACAAAGCATCTCTTCAGGTACCGTTTCTGGTTGAAGTGGTTCAGAAAATGAAAGAATTTCATATGCAGTAAATTTGTTTGCATCTTTTATTGCACAGTAGTCGACGATTCGATTCTGCCAGTGGATCTACCAATTCTTTTCTACGATTCATTCATTCGTTTCGATGGTAAATTGGTACTGGACATATGTCAGTCAACCAGTCATACGTGCTCCTGGTTCACTTATACCTGCAGTTACAATTACCACATTGGTCGTACTGACGAGGTCCAGTTGTGGTAATGGTAAGAAATGTACACGACTTAATGGACCGAAACATTTCTTGTCATTCATTATAATAATTTTATTAGGATATTTTACAATTTCTACTAATTTCTTAATATTATTTTTTCTTTTATTCTTGTTTTTAATGGTAAGAAATATTTCGGTCCATTAAGTCGTATGCATTTCTTGCCATTACCACAACTGGGCCTCGTCAGTATGATGACTGTGGTAATTGGAATTAGTAGATATTAAGACCAAATCATGTAATGAATGCTAATAGTAAGTATATACTTTTTGTAAAATGTTCTCACTAATATTAAGTATTGCTTGTGTCTACCTGTTGCGCCAGTTTCAGGACTTTTGTTTCAAACAGATGGAACAGTTTCAAAAACCAAACCACATACTTCAGACCTTTATGATTAGCGATGATTGCGTGGTGAGCGAAAGCAACGAATCACATTCACAACCAGTGACTCCTGGCACTGCTGGTGATTCGCAGAGCTCTTCATCCAGTGATGATGCTGTAAAACCGAAGAAAGCAAAGACCGCTTTTGATTTTGGCCAGAAAGAATTGGAGAGGTGTCGTCATCGTATTTGGAAACACTTACCCGAGCTGGAACAGGCCTATTTTGACAGTCGTACAGCTGCTGGTGAGTAATTTTTCAGGATTCATTTTGATTTTCACACATTTGCTTAATATTCCGTGACAAATGAACAAAACATCGTGGCAGCCTATACTTGCTACCCGCGCAAAACTTCAGTCTCCTAGCCAGAGATATTCACTGTTTGCATCTTTAAAATTTCTGAAACATTCAGAATGCCTCCTCTTTCTTAACGAGAGCAAATTGACTTGGTAGATTTTGACTTTTGACTTATCATTTAGCAAGGAAAAATATTTATTTTCTTTGAAATTGCTTTAATTTTTTCATCACCTTCTATCTTATCCTTGAGTATTCGCGATGTAGTTGGCAACCCTTTCTATAATCCTTTGTTCGAAACGGTATCCCCTCGTGATAAATCTTCTGTTGCTGGCGATTTTGACAGCAGCTTCTTTGTTTACATTCTCTGTTTCTCAGATTGCAGTGCTGAATTTGCTCGTACTTCATTATCATTTATTTTTCATCTTCTGCTTCATAACTGTTCTTTAATTTACCGCATTTCTTTTGTTTTTCTTTTT